TAAAAGAGCGTCCGTGAACTTTTGAAGTACTTGTCATTGTACTTGAATATTTCGCTGGTTTGTAGACTATTTAACCTATCTATTTAACAAAAACTTTTTTCTCGTTAAGACCGCCCGAATTTAGCCTATACCCAAAAAGAGCAAAAATCTTTCGAATAACTATAGGTCAATTACTCTACTATTGTCAGTGCAATGATGTTACTGAATTCACTTATAAACGCTTGCGTTCGCTGCTAGTCATGAAATGGTATAGGGCAAAGCGCGGCCTTCGACGCGTTATTTATAGGTACGTGCCGCCGCCCCCGGCCGGTACCGCCGTAACCGATATGTCCCTGTATTTAAAATCTGAAATACCGTGGAAATCTCAGTATTACTATCTTAATTCGGGTTTGAACGCCGTCGTAGTTTGGAACTGCATCCTAACGTTTCGCCAGCACAAGTGGCTGGCTTCTTCAGAGGTTTATTCATCTTGATGATTCACCAATGACTGGTGATTTCGAGTTCGTGAGTTATATTTATGTTGACGCAGGTAGTCCGCCTCTCTTGTTGATGCGTTGCTATTGGCCGAAGTGTTATTACCTGATAATGACGTAACATTGCATTGCGGTGTTACCACTTTAGCATCTTTTAGTATAGGATTCCAAATCCGGTTAAGCGTTACCGCCGAGATCAACAATGCCATGAAACTGAAGACTTCCACAAGTCAAAATAGAGAGGAAACTCAAACGGTTGCACGTGCATTTCTACCGTATATCCCTAGGGTTACAGTGATTCCAGCAACAGTAATTTCGATGTACGAGAAAAATGTTCTGTTGTTATTGTAAAGTGAATGATTTGAATGTATTCACACATAATGAAATGGATGAGTTGAATATATTACCCAGAAGGCGACAATTGCTCCACAATTTCTGCTGCCAACAATAAAAGGATGTGAAGTTATGTAAATTCATCAGTTATGTCACGTACGTTTTCATTGTCGGGATATTGTAACTCTAGCCAGTTGAGAGCCAACTTCTACCCCCTCATCGAGTTGGATAACGACAGTAATCATGGTCTGGTCTAACACGGTTTCTATTCCTACAACTCTATATTAAAGGTGGATGTGAAAATTAACATTATCGGCTATTCTAAAAAAGCTAACTCACCTCCCACCATTATGAAAATTACATACAGCATCTTTGAATTTGATATTGATGTAGAGCGCGTATACAAACTCACCAGGGAACCAGAAAATTTTATTTATATGACAATCCAGTCTAACGGTGGTCAGTACCCTGACAATATCACTGTAGGCATATTGGATGATAATGGTAATCTGATCCATTTCAATATGGTGAAAAATAGTATATTGTACAAGTGAGAAAAACGACACATTTCTCACGAGAGCAGAAGTAAGGCGAGTGCCGCAAGTAATTCCTGGTAGGTCGGTTTGTTTCTGCACGTTTTCGGTAATTGAAATATTAACTGCGGTCGAAATTGACGTAGATGGGGAAACGTACACGGAAAAAAAAGATTCGTTGAATGAAAGAAAATTCACTTCATTCAAAGAAATAAAAGTGTCATATTTATATGCACGACTAAATATTTTGTTGATGCAAGAAAAATGAATTCTTGACTCCCAACTATTTCTTCAAGCATATGTTCATTGTATCAAACAAATCTTTGATTGAAACAATCACATCGGTCAATTATCTCAATTTAAAGAAGAATTCAGTAATTGGAATATTCTATCAAAGAAACAAAATTTAAAGATTGGTGAAATAGTGGAACTGATTGAAGTAATCAAATGTATTTTCTATTTGGTTAAAAGTTATGTGGAAGAAACATAACATATCTGTAGGATGATGGAGAGCTTTGCTTGTTTTGTGAAAGCTCAGTATACTGAGTTTCCACAGCATTGTTGTGTTCAGGTTCTAATGGCGCTGGAGGCTGAATGGATTCTACTATACTTTTCCAGCAACATTGCTGGATTTCCAACCCCCATAGCGTTTTAAAGTTAAAAGATCTGCCCCTGCATTAACTAAAATAGTCGCAGATGACCTTCGGACACAGTGGCCAGTCTATAATTCAGGGTTCGGTAATTGCAGAAATTTCTCTATTTCTTTCGCCATGGTGCCAAATTTATTCATCCCCACAGGCTGTTTCATACATTTGCTATTTTTGTAATTTAAAAAAAGACGTGTTTCATTTGTGCATGGTCGAAGCTTCACATATTTTTTGTAAATTTGATGGAATTCTCCTGTGACTGTAAAATTTCTAGGAACCTTGGTTTCAGTATCGGGTAATTTTATTAAAAGGGCCGAATTAAGATCTTCCATGTCATCAATTTTTAATTTTTGAAGTTCATCACAACGGCATGCCCCTGTAAGGCCAATAGCTAAAGCAGCCTGAAATCAAAACCAAACATTCATTTTTCGATAACAATTTAAACATTTTCAATTCATACCTTTATCAGCAAATACTTTTTATCAGGTGCATCTTTTAAAAATTGTTGAATTTCTTCAGAAGTTAAGGTTTTTGACTGATTTGGAGCATATTATTCAGATTTGCGTTTTAAAAATGCACGTAGTTTTACGTATTTTGATATATTAACACAGTTTTTGAAAATTAAGATAGTCCTCAGCATTGAGTACTGAGACCACAATGTTGATGATTTCAGTCTTCTTGACAACTCTTCAAAATAAACTAACAAGGTATTTTCGGAACAAAAAAATTATCATTCATTCCACTTCCGATATCAAATGTTACGGTTTTTTGTGGGCTTGACAATAATTGACTAGACTGTACTTTACACTTAACTTTATTTCACTGTCAATAGAACCAAACGCTCCAACTAAAATTTCAACTTATATTCAAATGTCTATTGCCTTATTAGATCGCTCCGTACCGCACTGTCTGCCAAACTTGACTTGTCGAGCAAGGTGTGGGTAGAGTTTATATATGGTACCTAATCGAAGTGACTTGCAGCCGATAGGGAATTCGCACGTAGTCTATCGAAGTCGGTATAATTATTCTCGAAGCCCCCCCATGCCCTCTCCCGGGTTGAGTGCCCTGAAGTAGAAGTTCCCCCCCTCCCCCAGCTAGTTAGCGAGGAGAACCTACTACCCCACTACATCCACCCCTGCTCTCCGAGCGGTCCTCAACTTACTGATGGGCACTTCAGCAAGATTGACATCTGATCTCTTTCGGTCGAAAGCCAGCCTTTAGGTGCTATTCTTTCGCGATCGATTAAAGTGTTTCGTCGTGACTATTCCTAACTGAATTTTTGCATGGGGGTCCCCAAAAACTAACCGGCGGCTATTGTTATTAGCGTCTTGCGTTCCTCAGTGAATCTAAGGATAATTGAATCTAAGGCTAATTGAATCGCGGTCGAGTTGTTCTGCGGTGAACCTGCTGAAAGAGAATTTATCTGATTACTATGCTTACCTGAGTCGCCTCGTGGGGGTAGACGTTGGTTTTGTTTTGTTGGCCTCGGGTGTTTATCCCTTTCTCTGAAGCTGGGGTCATCCATATTCAACGCATCGTGTAGACCGGCCCCAGGCAGTGCAGGCATACAGTATTATGGGCATGAGAATGGTCTTAATCATCAGCAACTTTACGTTCAACCCCATGTTGCTTCTCATTCTCGAAGCGACGCGACGCGACACCTAGAACGGTCGCGACGCGCCAGTCGAGTTGAGCGCAATCTAGGCCACGTCACAAATAATTTAAGACGACCAGCGGCGGCCGGTGTTATTTATTTTAGGGGATGATTTACAACAGTATAATAGTATGGAGTGATATCTTCAAGACATCGCTAGTTGACTTAAAAGTAATTCAAAATGCATTAATAAAAATTACGATGAAAAAGATCGGATGTATTGTACTCGATCATTTCATGATGAAACTGGATTACTCGGAGTTAGAAAAACTTACATGTTTCAGAGTGTATTATGGACAGCTAAGTTTTCAATTAAATTTGTTCATCATACTTTCAATACTCGTAACAGTTCAATTAAGACTATGAATGTTCCACGATGCAGACTCATGCATAATCAAAAAAGTATAACGTATCTTCCACCTAAACTTTACAGCACTCAACCTGAATTATTGAAAGCCATGAGAAACAAACTCAAATTCAAGAGAAAGAATGAACAATTTTGTTGACATTAATTATGATATGCTTCTACTGATACATGAATAAGAAATAACCATTATCAGAAGTACCTACCAGAGCGCATCACAAACAGATATCTCACTCTCTCTCTCTCTCTCTCTGAATATCATGAATCTATATATTTTTTCTTTTGTTAAAGACGAATATGTATTTGTCTTATAACTGAATCGAATAAATTCACTTACTTACTCACTTACTTAAATGCTCCGAACATTTATAGAACTCGGTTACAGAAGAGGCGGTGTTTCTTCACCAGAGGCTAGATGTTCATGATCAATCCAGCGCTCAAAATCACAATTTGATGTTGCTGAAGGTCGTTCAAAGTCAAAGCCAAATGTCTAGAAGCCACCTCGTCCACGCAGTTGAATGTCTTTCAAGGTCAAATCATTAAAACTTAAAGATAGTTGCATGGCTACGTTGTGTGGCAAAGGTTTAGCACTTTGAGATAGCCGCATGACGGGTTCGAGTTCATTCTAAGTCAAAGTCACCTTGTCGAAAATATGAGTCGTGATCCAAGGTCATTCAAGGTCATTCAAAGTAAAACCCAAAACACTAACTCAAATTCATCCTGTCTGCGTCGTGTGACGTAGGTCGAAGTCGTTCAAAGTCAAACTCAAAACACTCCCCCAAAGTCGCCTTGGCTACGTCAAGGTCATTTCTAAGTTGAAAGTGGTGGGGGTAGGTTCCGAAATCAGCTTAAATCAACTACTTGGAAATCAGGGTTGCAACATTAATTCATTAACATTATCCACTCTGCCGCCAAAAAAATTTCCCGCGATACAGAATTTGGAACATTCATCGTTTGAAACAACAGAGTATTAACAAACAAAAAGAAAAAAGTAAAGCCGAATCGCTATAATTTTATTTTGAATTTTCAGAACATTTTCAAGATATCAATCGACTCAAGAATCCTTCGAACCCATTTTTCATCTTCTTCACTACGAACTTATTGGGAAATCAACTCACTGAAGAAACGATGAAGAATCCGAAAGTGCAAAACTTGTTGATGTCAAACGAAAAGTTCGATGTTGTAATATTAGAATATTTTTTCACTGATGGACTAACTACACTGGCCAAATATTTTGATGCCCATCTCATCCTGATGAGTCCCGTTGCAGCTAACATGTGGAATAATCACGTAGTAGGAAATCCATCGCTACCATCTCTTTATCCCGACATAACACTCGGATATCCGTTCAAAATGTCTTTTTATCAACGCTTTAAAAACACCTTCCATTTAATTAACAATTACATTAATTTAAACTTTATATTCTATCCCAAACAGAATGAAATTGTTCAGAAATATTTACCAAAATCTATTGATATGAGAGAAAGCATCAGTAATATTTCCTTGATGTTTTTAAATTCTCATGTTAGTTTATCAAAGCCGCAAGCACATGTTCCTAACATGATAGAAATTGGTGGTTTTCATATTATGCCACCAAATAAACTACCCGCCGATCTTCAGATTCTTCTGGACAACGCCAAGAATGGTGTGATTTATTTCAGTATGGGATCCAATTTGAAGAGCAAAAATTTACCAATTGAAATGAGAAATGAAATCCTCAAAGCTTTCAGAAAAAGAAAGGAAATCGTTTTATGGAAATGGGAGGATGATTTTCTGCCCAATCAACCTTCGAATGTTTTTTTGAAGAAATGGCTTCCTCAGCAAGACATATTGGGTAAGTGATATCAACAACATGAATAGTAAAGAAAATTGATATATTAATTGCTTCTTTGAGTATACAAAAACATCTAACCTGGTTTTTTTTTCAATTTCTATCGAAGGAGTATTTGATCAGTACTTATTTTTTGGAA